AAACATTTTAATAAAAATTCCGTAACTTAATTTTACAACATCCTGTTATACGTAATTATTAATAGCGAGCTATAACGTTCACTAATGCTGATGACTATAATCGTGTTGCATTCACTTCCCTCATGCGCAGGCGCACCATTTCTCTCCACTAACACCAGCAGCGGATATTTTAGCAGCCGATGGCCACATCATTAGTCTTGGACTGACTTGTTTGGTGTGTGCAACAGGAAATATTTCGCTTTTGGAGAACAAGAAAAATAGCTTTACGCTTATTAATTTGCATAGTTATTCATTGTCTGGTAAGCGAATGTCCAAGGAAAAATATTAACTTTTATTAAAGTGTTCTATTATTTTGTTACCGATGACTCATTTATTTCAGCCCTTTGTGTTCAGCGTGTCTCTATCGAAATAAACCTACGTGTCTATGAAAATTGAAGCTTTTGTTGTTTTGTGGCCCACATACACATAAACTTTGTGTATTTGGCTGGTGTTAGCCTGTGAGTTTGACATGCTTGGTCTAGCGGGAACTGTGTGATAACGAGCAAGTACAGATACAGGAAGGTTGCTCTGTGGGCCCACAGGAAAGAGATCAGGACTCACATAAGCTTCCCCACACGAGTAATGCTCAAGCTAAGATGTGAAGGATAGGCCAGTGCTGACAAGACACTGTGCCTCAACTTGCCCATCTGCAAAGAGGATCATCATGGTACCGTTGTCATGGGTTGCTGTAGAGATGCAATAAATGTTAGTTACTGATATTTTTAACATGTTTGTATTGATTTTAGAGAAGAAGGGAAAGGGAAAGAGATAGAAACATCAATCATGAGAATCATTTACCAGCGACCTTCTGCACACCACCTACCAGGGATCCAGCTTGCAACCTGGGCATGTGCTCTTGACCGGAATTGAATGTGGGACCTTTCAGTCTGCAGGCTGATGCTCTATCCACTGAGCCACGCTGGCTAGGGCACTTATTAATCTTTGTATAGCCCAGCTGGCGTGGCTCAGTGGTTGAGCATCAATTTATGAACCAGGAGATTAAAGTTTGATTCCTGGTCGGGGCACATGCCCAGATGACAGGCTCGATCCTCAGTTTGGGGAAGGCAGGCAGCTCCAGTACAGCATGGCCCAGCAGCTCCCCAAACAAGAAAGGGCTTAGCACAGAGGCAGCAATAGGGGAGCTCAGGCTGGGCTGCTGTGGCTCCCTGGGAAGTCAGAGAAAAAGGGCCTCAGGGACAGGTCCAGGGAGTTAGCCTGGTACAAGCTGCTGCTGCCCACTGCTCCCCTGGTTGTGTGGCTTTGGGGTTCCTTAGAGTTTAGGAGATGCGTGTCTGTGGGGGAAGAAGGAAAAGTGAGGCATGGGTTTGCTCCCAGGAGGGAGGGAGAGCATGCCCTGGGTCTTCTGGGTCCTTTGCTTTGAGGCTTTTCTCTCTCTTTTCTAAGGAAGAATAGTTTATTGATTGAGAGAGAAAGGAGGGAGGGGAACAGAGAGAGAAACATAAATGTGAGAGTGCTGCCTTCTGCATGCCCCCTACCAGAGATCAAACTCACAACCCGGGCAAGTGCCCTGACTGGATTTGAATCAGCAATCTCTTGGTGCACAGAAAATGCCCAACTCGCTGAGCCACCTGGCCAGGGTTTTCTCTCTTGCAGATGGGAACTTTAGGGGAGGTCTCAGAGGAGGGTTTCAGCAGAATATTCTTTCCTTTTTCAGTTGTGACTTTCAAGATTGGTCAGTGCCAGGGCAGCTGGTCCTGGCACCCCCCACCTGGCGTGGCTGCTTTTCTGGGCCTGGAGCGGAAACGCAGCTGAGGTCCCGAGGGAGGTGACCTTCTGTCTCTGGATGTAAATTGTTGGCCAGTGTGTTCATCTATCTGTCTCCGTTTCCCCATTCTACTCGCCAAGAAAATTTCCCAGCTTCTTCCTGTCCTGCCTCAGATGGAAGACACTCAGGTAGCGGGAACAGCAAAAGCGAAGGGAAAGAATTTGAGGCTCCGGTCCTCTTTGAGAGAGCTCTGTGAAGCTAGAGCTTGGGGCCCAGCAAGGCCGATCTGAGCAAGCCCCAAGGCCAGGCCAAGCTCCAGGGAAGTTCCTGGGAGAGGGGTGAATGCCAAAGGGAGGCAGGGTTAGAGGTGCGGAGCCCCAGGAAAAGAAGACACCAGCCCCCCATTCCCTCAGTTCTCAGTCCCACTTCGGGTCCTTATTTGGGGTGACCCCTGGCCCCACCCTCCGCTTGTCTAATGCCAACCCTGAAAGCCCTTCTCCAGTACAAACGGCCTGGCAGCCCCCCAAACCCAGCTGACGGATGGCGCCTGAGGCCTTTCCTTCTCCTTCAACCATCCTCTGTTAAGCACCCACTAAATGCTTGGTGTCCCTGATTCCATTATGAGATCGTTAAGCTGTTGGCAGCTAGAAATGGACCCTGCCGGGAAGATTTACACCACAGACATGGGCCAACCTGCTCCTCAGAGAGCCAGCTGCCAGCAGACCACCGCCCCTGCCCCCTGCCCCAGCCACGGACACAGACAGGCAGGCCCCCTGCTTAAGAGGACTCACCGACAGGAGGAGGAGACAACAGGGATGTGGACTGCACATGCACTGGGGCCGGCTGGGTAGTCTCTGAGGAGGGGGGGAGGGAACAGGGAGATGCATTCTAGAAGGAGAGTAGTGAACACACACCAGAACTGAACCAAGCTGTTCAAACAGCGATAGTGCGTACCGTCCCCATTTTATAGACCCGGAGACAGACAGGAAGAGGCAGGGCCACCGTCCACGGTCACATAACAGTAGGTGGGAGGCCTGGGACGTGCAGCTGGGCCATGGGCCTGGAAGCCTTTTTCATCTTCTGCATTTGGCTGGCCGTGGCGCAATCAGCACGGGGCAGACAGCACGGGGCTGGGCAGACTGTGGGGGCCCGGGGAGGTCTGCTGCCCAACTGGGTTCTAATCTCCGAGGGCACGGCCTGCATGCTCTCCACCTGGCCGCCTGGCACAGTGCCCCTCACAGGAGGACATCGTGTTTGTTGACCTGAATGTCTGAAGAAACTTCTGGAAAGGAGCCCTGGTGGCTCTCCCCACGCGGTGGCCTAGAGCTGGCTGGGAGGGGTTGCACCGTGCAGAAAGGGGAACAAAGCGGCTTTGGCCTCGGAGAGCACAGCAGGGTCCCTGAATGCCCTGGCTGGGGCCAGAGGTGGTGCCCGCCCGGAGGGGCAGGGAGAGGCTGTGTGAGGGCTCCCCTGTCCCGGCCGCTCCGCTGCTCTCCTCTCCGCCTAGGAGCCGTGGGCACTCCGCTCCCAGCCTCCGGCTCCCTCACATGATCCTCACCGCCACCCGGTGAGGAGAGCCTGGCCTGCCAGCTGGCACCGATGTCCTCGTTTTACAGGTAAAAATACCAACGCAGCAGCCAGGCACTGCCCCAGCTCCTTCGCAGGTGCCAGCGCATCATGGCATGCAGTCCCTCCACAACCGCGTGGAAGGTGCTGCCCGTCTGACAGACGTGGGAATGAGACTCACTGCCACAGAGAAGGGATCACCAGTGAGGGTCACGCAGCCCTGACCACATCCATCGGGGCTGACCCTCAGGCCGGGGGAGGGAGGAGAGGAGACAGGGGCGCGTGGGGCCAGCCAGCATCACCCCAGCCCTCCGGACAGAGTCCAGCCAGCTGCGGCCCACCACCTCTCTCCACCGGCCCTCCCCTCCCGGCCTGGGCTCCTTCTGGCCCCTGGCAGAGCGTGACCCTCCCCCTCCTCCGTCTCTCCACACACACCAGGCCCTCACATCCCTAAGCTTTTGCTCACGCCATTCCCTCCACCAGCATGCCCTTCCCACGTTCTCCATCCAGCGAACACCCGCCTCAGGCTTCCTATCCTCCTCTTCCAGCAAGTCCGCTCCCCCCTCGGGCGGGCAGCCCCTCTTCCAAACTTTCCCAGGACCCCGCGCTGTCCCCCGCACTGGGAGGCATTGATGACTCCACAGAATCGCCAGCTGGGGGTGGGGGAGGAGCAGCTTGCTCTTCCCTCCATCCTCGGCTTGGCCCCACGCCCGGATCTTCGGTAACTGCCCCTGGAGGTGACACACCAGCGCCCACCGCTCCCCCACCAGGCAGATCTGACTGGTGGCCCAGGAGTGAGCACCAGTGCCATGGGGATGGGGAGCGCCGGTTCTGGGGGAACATGGAGGGTCTCCCTGGGGTGGTGCTCCTGCCCGCACCCCTCTGGCCAGAGCAGGAGAGGCACCCGACCTCGGGCCACTCAGGCCGCCTGAGACCCCCCCCCCTCGGCTTCTCCTGCCCCCCCAGCTCAGGCCCTCCCCGCCCTCCCCATACACCCAGACTCGCTCCCTCCCCGCCCAGGTTCCAGAACTCACTGTGCGGTATTTATAGCGCCCTCCCCCGGCCAGGTCCCCTCCCAGCCCCGGGCAGTGCGGTGGGAAATGAGGGAGGCCCCCTCCTCCGCGGCTGGGGGTCTCTCCCCACGCTCCTCCACCAGGTCCCCCCGTCCCGCCCCCGCCCCGCACCCCGACTGCGCCCGGGCCTCCGCCTCCGCCTCCTGCCGCAGACCCAGGTGGAGGGGGGCCGGGGAGGCGGGCGCCGGGGCCTCGCTCCCCGCCCGCGCCTCCTGGGGGTCTGTGGGGGTTACAGGGCACAAAGCACAGCTCCAGCCGGTGCCTCGGGGGCGCCCCGCGCCGGGAGCCGGGAAGGGGGGCCGGGGAAAGCTCCGCGGAGCAGCCGGCTGGGCGCGGGGGCGCCAGAGCCTCCGCATCCCCCCATCCCGGCCGCCAGCCCCCGCCCAGGCCCGCAGCCCGAGGCTCCCGCCGGCCCCGGAGGTCACGCTCGGGGAGGGGGCGGCGGGAGGCCGCGCAGGGGTGGGGGTCGCGGGCGCAGAGGAGGCGGCGCAGGCGGAGGCGGAGGCGGAGGCGGAGGCGGAGGCGGGGGGGGGGGGCGGGCCGGGGTGCGGGATGGAGGGGCTGCGGCGGGGCCCCGGGCAGCAGGGTCCACTCACCCATCGCCCGCCGAGTCTCAGCAGCGGCGGCAGCAGCGGCGGCGGCGGCTCCGCGGCCCCCGGGGCCCCCGGCGGGGAGATGCTGGCATCCGCCGCAGCCTCTCGCCCCATCCCGGGTTCCGGCGGCGGCGGCGGCTGCGGCGGGCGCCCGGCATCGCAGGCGGCGCGGCCCCGATCCCCGCCCCCTGCCCCCGCCTCCACCCCGCCTCGCGGGCCCGGCGCGGCCGCCCGGCTGCCCCCCGGGGGCGCGGCGGGGCCCGGCGAGCGGGAGGCGCGGGGAGGGCCCGCGGGGGCGCGCTGGGTGCGGAGGCGAGGCCGATCCCGGTGCACGGAGGTGCCCGCTCCCGCCCGCTCCGGCCCCCGCCCCGCCCCCACGAGCCCCCTCCCCTCCGCGCCCGCCGGGCGTCCGGGCCGCAGGCTGGGGCCGCCGCTCCGCGCCTCCGGGCGTGCGTGTGCGGGGAGATGTGCGTGTGCGGGGAGATGTGCGTGTGCGGGGAGATGTGCGTGTGCGAGGAGCTGTGTGAGCGCCCCTGCCCGCGGCCGTGCGTGCCCGGCCCCCGCCCGGCGCGTCCCGCGGGGCGGCGTGTGCGAGGGGCGGGGCGGGCAGAGTGCTCGGTCTGTGTCTGCGGGGCCGTGTCTGCGGGGCTGTGTCTGCGGGGAGGTGTGCGTCTGGTTCGCAGGGCACGGGTCTGCGTGACCCACAGTGTCCCCGGGCCGCTCCCGGGTGCGGGGCTGTGCACGCCGGCCGGTACGCGGGCTGTGATGGTGTGCACACCTCTGGCCGTGCGAAGGCCTCCGGTGTGGTGTGTGCGTGCGGGGCCCGGGCGGCTGGGACGGGGTGTGTGTATCTATGACGCGGTGCGGAGGCCTGGATCTGCACCGTGTGGCCGGCCCGGCGCCAGGCCTGCTCCCGTGGCTGCACGGGTCCGAGTGCCCTTCGGGGTGGCCACCGTCCACCGCCTGCGGCCCAGCGGCCTCGCCGGGCTGTGTCCTTCCGACCCCTCCGTCCACGCACCGTCCGAAGGCCCCGTCCGAAGGCCGGAGTGCTGGCTCTCTCCCGGGCCTCACGGCCTCCCCGGCGCAGACCGTCCCACCCGCGGCCTGGGCCCGGAGTGGGCGACCCGCCGGCCCCGCTCACCTCCTGAGCCTCGTCTCCGGCCTCGGGGCGCCGGCTGCTCCCCCAACGCCCACCATGTAACACGCGGGCCCACGATGCTCCTGCGGGGCGTACCAGGCGGCCTCCTCCCGCTTCCCGCCCTTCTCGCGGTTCCTTCCGCTCTCGAGGCTCCGTCCGGTGGTGACTTCCGCCCAAGTGTGACTTCCAGAGGCGACTTCCGCCCGCGTGCAAGGCACTCTGGGTACGCGCCCAGCTCCGCCGCGGGCCCTGGGCGAAGGTGCGTCCGTGGGGCGGGCCAGGGAGGCCTCGAGGCGAGGTCCCTCTCAGCCAACGTCCTCAGGGCAGCCTGGGCCGTGGCTGGGACCGGCCCCCCGGCTCCAGGTGCCCATTGCCTACTTGGTCCACCCTCACCCGTAGCCACAGTGACCCTTCTGCAACCTGCATCCGAACAGGTCATCCTTCCTGAACCCTGGTGGCTCCCACTTCCTTAATTAAGCTCTGCTCCTGGGCGGGCCAGAGGGCGGCCCTGGCCACCAGGCCCTATTCCTTCCTCCAGCCTCATGCTCTCCTGTCCCCAGGCTCCCAGGGTGGACAAACTCATCTGGAAGGACCAGACTGTGGCTATCTCAGGCTTTGCTGCCCATAGGGCCTCTGTCTCAATGACTAAACTCTGCCACCGTAGTATAACATCAAGACAATATGGAAAGGGAATGGTCATGGCTGTGTTCCAATAAAACTTTATTTATGAACATTGAAATGTGAATTCCACTTAAATTTCACATGTCACAAAACACTATTCTTTTGCTTTCCCCCAACCATTTGAAAATGTAAAGACCGTTCCCAGCTGGCACTGCTCTGAGCACATCCCTGGTCTCTGTACCATCCCCACGACTCACCTACTTCAGATACTCAGACACTCTGCAAATCCTGTCCATTCTACCCTCCCCTCCCCGCCCCCCAATCCTCCAGCCCACTCTCTGTCCTTCTCTTTCCATCTCCCACGGACCCCTCACTACCACCCATGCAAGCTCTCCTCCGATTCCGCCCCTGACTCCCCGGACAGCCTGCTGTCCCGCCCCAGCCTCCGGCAGCCCACAGCCCAGGGACATGAGAGAAGCGCCATGGCAGTCTCGCTCCCCCAGTTTAGAATAAGCCTCCCCAAAATGTGCCGCTTTGGCATGTGGATGACTTTGAGCAATCAACACCCAGCAGACTCAAAAGCGTTTACTTCTTCCTTAATTGCCTACAAATGTACAGAAGAGGCCCTAGCCTAGAAAGAGAGGTGACTTTTTTATGTGGATGATCTTTCTGTACGGCAGGACAAATACCTAAATCTCAAACATCTTCTCTTCTCATCCTGTGAACTGCCCTTTTCCTGGGGGTTCATATTCTTACGGGGCCCCCGTATGGGCATAACTAAGTTTGTTTTTCTCCCCTGGATCTTTCCCATGGTAATTTGACCAGCAAGAGGACCTGAAAGAGAAGAATGAAATGTTTTCCTCCCCTACAACCTAAGCACTAAGCCAGATTTAAATGATCATATCCTGCCGAAACCGGTTTGGCTCGGTGGATAGAGCGTCAGTCTGTGGACTGAAGGGTCCCGGGTTCGATTCCAGTCAAGGCATGTACCTTGGTTGCGGGCACATCCCCTGTAGGGGGTGTGCAGGAGGCAGCTGGTCGATGTTTCTCTCTCATTGATGTTTCTGGCTCTCTATCCCTCTCCCTTCCCCTCTGTAAAAAATCAAGAAAATATGTTTTTTTAATATATATTTTATTTATTTTTCACAGAGAGAAAGAGAGAGGGACAGAGAGCTAGAAACATCGATGAGAGAGAATCATCGACCAGCTGCCTCTTGCACACCCCCTACTGGGGATGTGCCCGCAACCAAGGTACATGCCTTGACCGGAATCGAACCCGGGACCCTTCAGTCCGCAGGCCAACGCTCTATTCACTGAGCCAAACCGGTTTCGGCAGAAAATATATATTTTTTAAAAATGATCATATCCCTTAATTCTCACAGCTCCCAGCAAAGCAGAGAAGGGGAAGTGACATGCCCAAAAAAACAAGACCGGGGAGTCCTGGAAGCGGGGCTCAGACCCAGGTTTGTGGGGCTTTCTCCTTTCCACTCTTTGCCAGGGTGTACCATGTGTCTGCCACCCTGTGTGCGCTCTTTCTGCCCCATGGCCAGCTCTGCTCCCCCAACACTAGCTGGATCAGGGCCTGAACCACAAATACGCCTTTCTGTCCTTTGAAAATGGGCCTTTTGTCCTCTGGAAAAAGTTAATTGATTTGGGTGAACAGTTAATAGCCATACACAATGCAAATGTGAAATTATTGAAGGGTGGCCAGGAAGACCAGAAAGTAAGCCCTTCGTCCTCCACCTTGGCTTTCTGTCCTTTGAAAATGGGCCTGTTTGTCTTTTGGAAATAGTTCATTGATGTGGGTGAATAGTTAATAGCCACACATAACGTAAAAGGAAAATTATTGAAGGGTGTCCAGTAACACCGGAGTGTAAGAATGTAGAATTCATGGCCACGGCCACGGCCACCCAGTTTCCCTCTAAGTATGGATTTTACCCTTGTGATGTTTTTGGACGCAGCCTTTTTGATGTGAAGCCACTTTGTTGTGGCCTAAAAACTAATCCATTACATGATAGCTGATTCCTTTTAGTTTCTTCCACTGATGCACGTAACACACGTGCTCCCCTGTCCTTGGCCCCCAGGCCCTGCTCATGGGGCAGAGTGAGAGGTCAGGGCTTGTACGGCGGTAACCGGTTTCAGTCTAGGGTTTTGTACACGTTGCTTCACTCTCAGTTTCCTTGTCTGTGAAATAGGAAGAGGGAGGGTTCCCTCACAAGGCCGCTGGGAGGGTGAAATGGGTCCAGATCCAGGCGGTGTCTGCCCTGGGCCTGTCCTCCAGTCTGTCTCAGCTGGCACTATGTCTGCAGGGCCACTGTCTCTTGAGTCCAGAGTACAGGACACACTCCATAAATATTTGGTTAAAAAATTAGTTAATTGCCCTAGCTGGTGTGGCTCAGTGGATAGAGTGTTGGCCTGCACACTAAAGGGTCCAGGGTTTGATTCCAGTCAAGGGCCTATGCTCGTTTGTGGGCTCGATCCCCAGTAGGGGTTGTGCAGGAGGCAGCCAATCAATGATTCTCTCTCATTATTGGTGTTTCTATCTCTCCCTCTTCCTTCCTCTCTCTCTAAAAAATCAATTAAAAATATATATATTTTTAAGTGAGTAAATTAATGCCAGCCACATGCCTACTGCCTGTCATTAGCAAAGCATTTCGGTCTGTCTAAAAACGGCCACTTTGGGAAAGCTGTGGCCCCAAAGCCCCAAGCCCTCCTTCAGAGGGCTGTACCCTGCATCCCTCACCAAGCGCCCCCCCCCGCGCACGCACACACACACACGTGGGTGCAATTAGGCCCATGCAGGGAGCCCCCAAAGGCAGCCTCCCTCCCCCACCCCAGGGCAGTTGGGGGGAGGAGCAGGAGTGGCGGAGCCCTGCCTGCCCAGCGCTGTGCTGCCGGGCCAGGCAGTTCCTGTGGGCCCGCTCCCGCTCTGGGGCTCCGTCCTCCCCCTCCTCTGGCCTTTGTTCTGACCTTTGCAGATTCCCAAGCTTCTTGGGAGACCTCAGGAGAGTCCGCCGTGGTGGGGGCCACATCCCGGCCAGCCTCTGCCTGCCAGGCCGCTCTCACAGGGTCCAGGGAGCTGTGAGTGACGATGCTTGCCCTCCCAGCCCGACAGGGATGACAAGTGCTCAGTCATACACAAGCTGCCCCCGGCGGATCCCGGCACCGGCCACCTTCCCCTCTCCCGCCCAGGCCTGCAGGCCAGGACCCACCTCGGAAAGAGCCGGAGGCAGTGGGGCCGGCTCCCCTCTCAGCTTCTCTCTCTCTCTCTCTCTCTCTCTCTCTCTCTCTCTTTCTCTCTCACACACACACACACACACACACACACACACACACCCGCCCAGCATTTCTACAGGTCAGGCACACAGAGGCATTGACAGGTGGAGACGCTAAAATCATTGTGATTAAGACCTGGGTTCGAGGCCCTGGCCTGGCAGCTCAGTTGGAGCATCGTCCTGATATATCAAAGTTGCATGTTCCATCTCTGGTCAGGGCACATACAAGGAACAACCAATGAGTACATCAATACAATGTCTGTCTGTCTGTCTGTCTGACTCTCTCTCTTTCAACTCAATAAT